AAACTCTCTTTTTTCAACCCCAAAACCGACCAATATGTTAAAGATGTGCTCGTAGTCCCTTCAAACATGTATCCTAAAACCTCTGGATCTAGGTCTCCAGAACACTAGGAGCATAGACTTGTTTCAAATACACTCCATGCAGATACTTTACTACAATCTGAAAATCCACAACAATGCTATGGAATTGAGGGTACTGTCTTAAGAGCTTAGTGATGCTAGATTATTGAACACCTAGGATTCCAAGGTAATCTACTACAAACATGATCATGTTCTTGAATTGCAACCAATAACAAGTGGATAATTATTAATATCCTCAATTGTAGCTTTTGTAATTCCTAATTTATGGAGGAAGTCCATATGTTTACTCATGTCATCAACTGTAACAGGTAGTTCTAGCTCATCCTGTTTATCAAGTAAGACACAAATCCCCTTTAGAAACTCATAAAGTTGGGCACAGCTTACCATTTCTGCTTCTTCAGATCTAATATTCTTGGACTTAAATGCAAGGATGACGCACTTGAGTGCTGATATCTAAGTGTAGATGCAGAAACAGATCCAAAAAAAAAAAAAAAAAAAAAAGCACTTTTATTATCACAGAGTGTAACATGGTAGCTGAAGTGCTACACTATCATGTTTATCATGCATGCCTTAACGTTTGCCATTCTAGATGTATTAGGAAGAATCACTTAAACTTGAAAATATTGTATCAACATTAATGCATGACAAAGAGAAAATTAAGAAAAACTATAATATTAGGAAATAAGAGAAAATGCAGGACAAGCATTCATTATATCACACATTAGTTTTACAGCATTATCCATAGATATTGTTTATAATCATGTTTGATGTGCTCACACAAAGGCAGTTATATAGAATTGTTAAACTACATTTGTTTTCCGAACTGTATCATTGCGTAAAATAATTGTAAGCATCCACCATGCTTCTAACACTGTGGTATCGGAGCATGGCAACATAAAAATTTAGTTGTTTTTTAATATCCTAGACTCCCAAAGGAAAATTATGATAAGTGGTCTCTTTGGATGAAAACAATTCTTGGTGCACAAGGAGTTTGGATAAATGGCTAACAGATGTTGCGAATGAATCTAAGTTAAACTTAATGGAGAAAGGAGCCTTGGAAAGCGAGAGAAAAAAAGATCAAAGTGCACTTAGTCATCTATCAAGCTTTGGATGATGATATGTTCGAGAAAGCTGCTAACAAAAGAAGTTCCAAACAACTCCTATCATCCTATGAAAGAGTATGTAGAGTAAAGAACATTCACCTTCAAACTCTAAGAGGAGAATTTGAACACCTTGAGATGTTTGATAAAGAATCCATCTTAGGTTATTTTAGAAGAGTTTTATATTGTGTGAATTAATGAAGAGGCTAGGTGAATCAATGCAAGACTCTCATGTAGTTGAAAAAATATTTGGTTCTCTTAGTTTTGATTTCAACCATGTAGTAGGTTGTTATCAGAGTTCAATAGGACTCGAATTCCATGAGGATTGATGAATTAAAATAAAGTATAGTTAAAAGGGAATGAAGGAAGACGAGCAGCAATAGTCGCAAGCTAAAATCTCTTTGAATGATAAGGAGATACACATATTAAACAAATGTTTCAATCACATGGTAGAGCTGGTCTACCATGACATGGTTGTGGCAATGGATGTGGCCAAGGAAGAGGGAGAGATGGCTAAAACTCCCTAACTTTTATCCGAGTGAAACCTCTACCAAAGATCTATTGTGGACAAGGTAAGAAATGAATTGGTTTCAAAGAAGTAATAACAAAGCTAATGTTCAGTGCTACAATCATGGCATATATGGCCATTTTCGTGTGCAAGAAGAAACAAATCGTATTGAAAACAAGGAAGGAATAGAAGAAGCAACCATTTTATTAGCTTTCAAAATGGAAGACAAGAAAGATGATAATTGAACATGGTATCTTGACTAAGGAACAAGCAACCATATGAAACTATGAAAGGAGTCAAAAGCAAATTTGCTAATTTAAATACAAGTATAATTGATGATGTAACTTTTGACAAGGACTCAAAGGTAACGATTAAAGGGAAAGGTATAATTATGATTGAGTTAAGATTACAACAATTCTTGGTGCACAAGGAGTTTGGATAAATGGCTAACAGATGTTGCGAATGAATCTAAGTTAAACTTAATGGAGAAAGGAGCCTTGGAAAGCGAGAGAAAAAAAGATCAAAGTGCACTTAGTCATCTATCAAGCTTTGGATGATGATATGTTCGAGAAAGCTGCTAACAAAAGAAGTTCCAAACAACTCCTATCATCCTATGAAAGAGTATGTAGAGTAAAGAACATTCACCTTCAAACTCTAAGAGGAGAATTTGAACACCTTGAGATGTTTGATAAAGAATCCATCTTAGGTTATTTTAGAAGAGTTTTATATTGTGTGAATTAATGAAGAGGCTAGGTGAATCAATGCAAGACTCTCATGTAGTTGAAAAAATATTTGGTTCTCTTAGTTTTGATTTCAACCATGTAGTAGGTTGTTATCAGAGTTCAATAGGACTCGAATTCCATGAGGATTGATGAATTAAAATAAAGTATAGTTAAAAGGGAATGAAGGAAGACGAGCAGCAATAGTCGCAAGCTAAAATCTCTTTGAATGATAAGGAGATACACATATTAAACAAATGTTTCAATCACATGGTAGAGCTGGTCTACCATGACATGGTTGTGGCAATGGATGTGGCCAAGGAAGAGGGAGAGATGGCTAAAACTCCCTAACTTTTATCCGAGTGAAACCTCTACCAAAGATCTATTGTGGACAAGGTAAGAAATGAATTGGTTTCAAAGAAGTAATAACAAAGCTAATGTTCAGTGCTACAATCATGGCATATATGGCCATTTTCGTGTGCAAGAAGAAACAAATCGTATTGAAAACAAGGAAGGAATAGAAGAAGCAACCATTTTATTAGCTTTCAAAATGGAAGACAAGAAAGATGATAAATGAACATGGTATCTTGACTAAGGAACAAGCAACCATATGAAACTATGAAAGGAGTCAAAAGCAAATTTGCTAATTTAAATACAAGTATAATTGATGATGTAACTTTTGACAAGGACTCAAAGGTAACGATTAAAGGGAAAGGTATAATTATGATTGAGTTAAGATTACAATCACAAAAAACTTCGAGGTGCAAATTATATTCCAAATTTGAGAAGTACCATCTTAAGTGTAGGACAACTAACTATAGAGGTGAATGGTTTTAAGATTTAAATGGAGGGACAAAAGTTGTGGTTTCGTGATGATGAGAAATATAATCTAATAGCTACAGTGTCAATGACGAAATATAGAATGTTCTTAATGAATCTACAAACTGCTAAACCAATGTGTTTGAAAAATTGTGTTAAAGATCCCTCTTAGATGAGGCTTGGTCACCTCAATTGAGCTAGGAGACAGGAAAATGGCAAGAGAATAACCTCATATTGATCAATAACCTCATATTAATCGTTGTAATCAACTTTGTGAAGCATGTTAGCTTGGCAAACATTCAAGGATGCTCTATCCAAGATATAAGTGAACCTATCAAACCCCCTTGTATCACTCGGAAGTTCATAATTTATTCTTCCTGATACAGTATATAAACAATAACCATCTCAACCAAAAGCTTAAGCTTTGGTTGAAGCCCATAATCAATTTATACTCTTATCACTTTTATATATAATTATGGTAAAAAGACATGGGTTTATCTCTTCAAAGATAAATCTGAAGCCTAGTTCATACATTATTCATTTGATTGATGATTATAATAATTTCTAAGAATGGTGCACAATTAGAAAGATGTCCAAATTACTATCCGATAGAATACTTTATTCAATTTATCAAATCAACAAACCAAAACCGATTAAAGCCAGTATGTATCCAATAATGGCAACAAATCAAATCAATCAAAAAAATTAAACATAATTGAGAACCTATTTACACAAATCAGTCAAAAGTTTAAAAGAAAAGTCAGAAACCCAACAAATTAAAGAACAGAGAAACGGGAAAATTACATAATTAATAAGGAGTATAAAAAAGAGATACCTTGGAATTGAAGATGCACCCAAAATTGAGGAACTGAATTGAGCGGTTGATGAAGTTCAGCCTTTAGTGAAGACTGAAGAACTTCAGAAAGTATGGAAGGGAGAGTTTACGAGAGATGCTGCGACTTAGAGTTTTTATTTATGTTCTATTGTTCTATAATACTCCGTAATTTACCAAACTCTCACACGTATTTCTTTAATATCTTACACAACTAATTGTTACTCGTATTTACTTACATAGGTGTACTATCAGCTATTACCATATGTAGCATTGTAGCAAATACCTATATAGCTACATTTTGCTGAACAAGGCCATAGAGAGTAATTCTCTTATTTGTACAACGAGCTCATTGTAGTGATGAAAAAAATTAAAATATTTACTGAATACTTTTTTGTGTTCATATTAATTGACACTTTTATTGTCGATGGATGAGTTGGAACTTTAATATCATCAATAGGAAAAAATTGTAAAAGTTGATAAATGAAATTTTTTTACTTTGGCAATTCTAACAACATTCTTATATAACTATATTTTTTCTCAATATAAATTACAAAATAAAGTCAGCTCAAATTAAAGTTACTTATATATGTACATAAACCATGTCAAAGTCAACACATATATACTAACAAAACTTACAATTACCTAATTGTGAAGTTATAATACTTGGCATATAATTTTCGAATCAATGTGACTTACATGAGCAAACACTAAATGTTTTTTTTTTTTAAATGTTTATCTTTATTTTATGACAACACGAGGAATTTTATACATAAGTATTAGGTTTTAAAAATTAATTAGATTATGTATCAAATAGTTTTGTCAAAGAAACAAAATTGTATCAAATTAATTGGGCCGAATTTGAACCATTAAGTTGCATAAAAGTTAACTTTCTGTATCATATACCCTAAAATAAAATCATATAGGATAGCCCTTTTTTTTTTTTTTTTTTTTTTTTTTTTACAAAAATCATATAGGATAGCTGGATAGGATAGAATTTGTTGGAAAAAAATAAGATAGCATCGTGTAAGATTTTTCTAGAATCCCCAATGACATCTATAAAAACAACCCTAGTAGTCTTCCAAAGTCTCATCAGTCAACATATTCTCAAAAGAAGTCATACTTTTACAAAATATTACTCTCCTCTTTTCCTTCCAAGCTAGAAAACTTCAATTCAATGGCATCATCCTCCTCTTCTCCATCTTCTTCCAAGAAGGTTGTCCTTAGGACTTCCGATCGGGAATTTTTCACCGTGAACGAAAACACAGCAAGGCTTTCTCAAACCCTCACGCACATGATCGAGGACCTCAGCGACAGCAACAATCCCATTCCGGTGCCTAATGTCGACGCTAGAATTCTCTCTAAGGTTATCGAGTACTGCAACAAGCACGTTGTTGCCAATAGCCCCGAATCCGAGACCACTGAAGATGAACTCAAGCAATGGGATAAGGACTTCCTAAAAGTTGATCAAGAGACCCTCTTTGAGCTCATTCTTGTGAGTTTTTTTTTTTTTTTTTTTTTTTTTTTTTTTTTTTTTTGTGTTCCTTGATTTGATCTTTATTTTTCATTTATTTGATTATATTTGTTATTCATTTTCTTGAATTCTTTCGTTTGTTTTTTATTTATTTTGTTGCTTAATAATACTGGAAATTTGTGTTTCTTAAGCGTATTAATTGTTTGTTAGGGTTAACATTATGATTAATTATTTTAATTTTATATTTATTAGGGCTTAGGGGTTAATGTGCGTTTGAATTATTTAGGGTTTAAAGTTTTGAAGTATGAATTAATAAAATAGGCTAAGATTATGATTAATTATTGTAATTTCATTAGGGTTTAGCATTGATGTGTTATTTAATTTTTGATGCATTACGAGTTTTCTTTCTTGATTTTTTTTTAAAATTTTTTTTTTACATAAGTACTGTTTTCCAGAAGCGCTTTTTTAATTTGATTGTTTGATGTTCTTTTTTTTTTTAAAACAAAATTTTGACGTTCTTATTATTAATGAGATGGTACTTTACATTCCAATGTTTAACAGATTGATAGATAGATGACGAGAGGGTAATAATTAAAACTACCAAGTATGTTTTCAATTAATTTTGTCATATATATTTATTTTTATTGTGAGTAAAATATCTCATTAATTGATTAACAATTCATTTCATTGATATAGAAAATACATGCTCCTTATTGAAGTATTTATTGTAAGAGATACTGAATTATTGTATTCATTAATTCCTAACCTATCCTATGCTATGAGATTATCAATATATTAATTACATATATCTATATAATTGATAATAATCTTAATAAAGAAGATACCACTGTAGTTTTTCTACTTTTTAAAGCTGAAGTTATAAAAATATATGTCGATTAATAGATATAATTACTACAAGTTAGATAAATCAACAGATGATACCATAAAAGTTATGATATACGGAGTAATTGATACTCGTAAAAAGTTGACCCTCACATAAACCCTAAAAATTGAAGGTTTAGGAACAAAAAAAATTAGACTTATTAATAAACTATTTATTGCATTAGTTAAATTAGTAAAGTGAATAATATTTGTGCAGGCTGCAAACTACCTGGACATAAAGAGTTTACTAGACTTGACTTGCCAAGCCATTGCTGATATCATCAAGTCTAAAACTCCTGAGGAGGTAAGGAAGATCTTCAACATCGTCAATGATTTTACTCTCGAAGAAGAAGCCGAAATTCGAAGGGAGCATCAATGGGCCTTTGATGATTGTGAGTAAGCTGATATTCAGACAACAATTTCGAAACTGAAAGAAAGAAATATGATTTGATGTTGTTATATGTTACTCCATACAATTTTAGTTATTAAACTCTTCCTTAATGAGTTTAAGAAAGATATGATTTGATGTATTTCTGAATAATTAACGACATTGCTTCTCTAGTTATAGTATTATCTATGTTTTGCATGTTATTTTTTGTCTGTTATATTTTTCTATTCGTATTTAGTTTTGTTATTTTAGCCCACTAATGTTTTATGAATTTTATTGTTTTTCATTGCTAAAGTTTTCTCAAACCTTTATGTTTTGTTTACTCCAACGACATTAAAACATTCTTGAATTTCATTCTTGTTTTTCTTTTAACACCCCCTTATTTTTTCTTGAATGCTCTTTCGTTTGCTCACTTTACTCACCTTTTTAAAACTCTTTCAAATGATTATTTTGTTATGTCCTTTTCTGTATTATACCGTACGATTCTCTGTGGCGATTCATGTTAGCCAACCCCAAATCATTTTGAGACTAAGGCTTTGTTGTTGTTGTACTTGGTTTAAGTTTTACATAATCGAAAGATTCTCCATTTCTAAATAAATGAAAGAAAAAATTATAGACGACTTAAACTTTAACTTTCTTTTTTTTTTTAACAAGGGCCTAATTTGTTTTTTAATAAGGTCAAAAGGTGGAACTTAATCAATAACTTAATACTAAAACAGACACCGGAAGTCCGGAAGTGACACGTGTCACATCCTGGTGCTGCTTTTTCCCTCTAAAACCCCCCTTCCTTTTGAACCAATATTTTTTTTTTCTGTGTGAATATTTGATATAACTATAATTATATTATTCCAAATCTTTTATATTATCTTTTACTAGGTTGCATTACATTATTGTATATGAAAATTAGAATTTATAAAATGATTTACATTTAATTAAGGAAAGTAAAAAAAATTGAAACCACGATCAAACATCAAACAAATTAGGTATGTGAAAATATAATTTAGTAGAGAAACTTGGTTAATTGAATTTTATATAGGCACTTATACATTGAAGTCAAAAGTGTAGATAAAAATAAAAAATAATAAAATCAATAATAATTGATGACATTACACATTAAATTGGAGGGAAAATTTTTAATGTGAGAATGATACGTAGGATTATTTGAGAGTTAATGATATCAGCAATGTGTTTTTTTAGTAATAGTTAATAGATGACAAATATATTCCATTTTATTTGGTGTTTATAATTCTTTCATACACATTTACCTAAAAATTACTTCAACTCCCTTTTAATTATCCTTTTTTTTTTTTTTTGAATAAAAATCTATTATCTATTAAAATTTTGCTTTGCTTTTTTAATATAGATTATGACAATATAATTTCTATATATTTGATAGGTATGTTTTATCAATTTTTTTGTCAGATATAACAATTTTTGTAAAATAATTAGACTTATCGTGCATGACACGGGGCCTAAGCTAGTTTTAACATTAAACATGTAAGAACCTGACAACTCTAAAGTTAGTAGTGGTTTTGAGTTCAACTTGACAACAATTAAAAATATATATATATATATATATATATATATATATATATATATATATATATATATATATATATATATATATATATATATATATATATATATATATAAAACGCCGTTTTGTAAGGTTTGATTCATTGATCATATATCATATCCTATATTTAAGGTAACTTATCAAATATCTTCACAAATCCTAACACCCCTTATGTGGAAGGAAGATGCAATGCCCAACTTGTTTAATAAATAATCAAATTGCATCTTGCCAAGGGACTAGGTGCACAAAATGACAATCAAATTCTATATGTTTGGTTCGTTCATGTAAAACAATTCTTAGTAATATAGAGAGCTGATTGACTATCACAAAATAGTTTAATAGCCTTTTGATGATGTACACTCAAACACTATAAAAGACCCTTTATTAATCACTTTAATTCACAAGTGATAGCAGCCATAAAGCGCTATTCCGCTTTTGTCAAAGAACGAAAAACAATGTTTTGTTTCTTAGTACGTCTTCCATGAATTAGGAGAATGACCAAGAAACATGAGCCATCCAGTCGAAGATCTATGTGTAACGGGACGCACGACCCGATTTGAATCACACCAACCATGCAAGGTTAAATCACTATCAACTTTTAAAAGAATTCCCTGTCCGGGAGTGGTGTCTTTTAAATATCGCATGAGCCTTAAGGCTGCTTCCCATTGTTCAGGTTAGGGATACTGCATGAACTGTGATAAGACATGACATAAATAAGCAAGATTTGATCGAGTGACTGCGAGATTAATTAGCCTACCAATAAGCTAGCCTTCGATAGGCTTCGGGATCAGAGAGTGTAACACTACTAGCCAAGCCTAGCTTGTGGTTTTAATCAATAGGAAATCCAACAGGTTTGGTATTTAATAAACCAACCTCATAAATAATATCAAGAGTATACTTCCTTTGATAAAGGAACAAACTAGAAGAACTACGAGCCACTTCAATGCCCAAAAAATATTTCAAAGAACCAAAATCCTTCATATGAAAACAATCACCGAGATATGCTTTGAATGTCTTTAAAGCAGCGGAATCATTCCCAGAAATGATGAGATCATCAACATAATATAAATAAGAACATTGATTTGTACAGATTGACCCAACCTTCAGCATATGTGAATAAAGATAATCGGAGTACATAAGAGACCGTACTCTTTCAAAGCATACACAAATTTCACAAACCAACACCTTGGTGCTTGTTTAAGGCCATAAAATGGATTTTCGAAAATGACATACCTTATTAGGGTAAGAATGAAGATTCAAAGCTAAGCAAGGAGGTACTTTCATGTATACCTCCTCATTAAGTTCTCCATGTAGAAAGACATTGTGAACGTCCATCTAATGTAGTAGCTCCCAATTTATAGAAGCTGCAATAGTAAGAAATTAGGGTTTGAATAGTTACCATTTTAGCCATGGGTACAAAAAATTTTGGTGTAATCAATGCCCTCCTTTTGATGATTACTAAAGACAACAAGTCCGTATTTTAGTCTTTTAATGCTCCCATTGGAATTTTATTTGATCCGATAAACCAACTGACTGCCAAGAGGACGTTTGTCAGGAGGTAGTTTTTCTGTTGTCCTCGTGCCATTCCTTTTCTAGAGCTTGTATTTCATTTTTCATAAACTCTCTTCAACCTGCACTATCCTTACTTGAGTGCAAGTGCCAGTGTTTTCAATGCTCTCCTAATTACATTTAAAATGTGCTTGTGTTATTGGTCAACCCACCCACTTTGTCGTGGAGTTCCCATACAAGAGGTTATAAACAATATTTCGGTATTAGGGAAAAAAACCACTCAAACAATTAGATTTGTCCATTTATCACTTTGAACCACTTTAAATGTTTGAGAAAATTTTTTTGTCAACCATTGCAACAAAAAACATAAACATACAAAACACCTCAACTTTATCAACAATCACATAAATCTAAAGGACTTAGGATAAATCATACACAATATTCAAAAAATATCAAGCACCACAAGAAACATGCCTTTATGATCCCCACAAATTACAATGTATCTTTTTAAAAATGTAGTTGCTTTATTCTCACTTACAGAATATTTATCGCTAGGGTATTTAATGCAAAAATAGACTTTGCAAGCTTTATTCAAACTATCTTTACAACAATTAAAGGGAGGATGAAGTTTCACTACTCTTTTCGGCGAATGCTCCATGCATTCTTAATTTTATGCCACAACTCCAAATAAGTCGCATGTACTAAAACATGTTGCACTTATTATGCTCCGTCGAAGTAGAATATTTCATCTCACTTAATACTCATTCCAATCAGCTCCCTTGATTATTCCTATATAGCATACCTTAAAAAGTTAATTTAATGTATTGCATAATATAATCAATTGCGATATCGAAATTAAATTACAACTCCATTGTGGAACAAAAAGCAGATGTTTAAGAGTTAAATTGGGCAACAAACAAACCGAGCCCTCTTTTGTTGCCATGACTGATTTTCCATTTGGAAGCCCAACTGGACAATATGAGATGTCATGAGCGTCAATCAACCAAGAATCATCACAAGTAACAGTACATGTCTAGAAAGCAATTATGTCTGCAATCTATATTTTATTGTCAAACATACCATTCAAAGATCATCGAGAATATTTGTGTTACCCATTAAACCGGGCCTTCCACCATTCTGTCAAAAAAACATGAAAAGAACCACATGCAACCATGCTACGAGCAACTCCGACACCTTTCCCACCAACAACAATGGCATTAATTATCCTGAGGCGCGCCACGCCCTTTACCACGTCCCCTACCACCAGCTAAGGGTCTTATACCCCTACTGACTCATCTGTCGATCCATTGACCTTGGAATGATTCGGCCACCACTCCGATTACCCGATCAACTCAAAACAAGAGAAGCAATATATATGATCCAACTTCTTGCAATGAGTACAATGAAGTATATATAGCCTTATCTGGCTTGTCCTATTTATCACCACAAACTACCTCCTTGTCTCTCCCAACATTCGTGCGAAGATCAAAACCAACATCATCAACTGACTTGTCATAAGTGATAGCCTTAATTAACAAGGCGTACACGCTCATCTTAAGCTACTAACTGATATGCATGATCAAGAAATGACAAGGGACCTTTGGAAAAAATTGCGAGAAGTTGAGCATAATAACATGTATATATACAGTCCCATTAAGTAATCATGTATACATGTATTTTCCCATCAACGCCCATGTTCCACCCCTGCGGTGCCGTGTAAGAGGCACAACAAGAGCATGTAGTCAACGACTTGTGATTATTCAATTCTTCCCATAGAGCCATCAATTTTCCAAAGTATGTATGTGCAGTGGTGCGCTACTGACATGTTATTCGTTGCTCACACTTTGCAATTGAAGACTTTAATTGTTTAATTCGAGGACCATTAATAACCTAAACAAAATGTGATTTGAGAGTGTCCCAAAGTTGCCTAGCATCCCTGTATGTAAGGGTGTTCGCAGTCCGGTTTGGGGCATAACCCAAACCAAACTGTAAAAATACGATTTG